AAAGTCCTTATTTAGAGTTCCCTAATAGACATTCTCGTCTGGCTGAAGATGTTAAACTTAGCGCTTGTTGGGAGGCAACCCAATGTTTACTGCTTTATTTTTTTATGTTTTTAGTTAGTTTTATTTTTTGTTTGTTTGATATTTTGTTTTTCTTCCTTGCAGAACATTATTTGGAAAGATTTACATGACGAAGAATATGCTTTGAGATCTATACCAAGAATTGTCATCTTTCCAATGATGTTTTGTGAGTCTTCTCTATTTTACTTTTATTGAAATTCTATTCTTCCCTTATGTGCTTCATATAATTTCATTCAAGTTTGGGGAGAGATTTGATATTTTGATTTGAGAAATTTAGAGAGAAGATAACAAGATATCTTACACGTTATCTTGCATATCATGTAGTTGCATGTTAGGTTTATTGCTTTAGCACGTTTATTGCTTTCGTAGGATTTGAGTAGTTGTAGTTGGTCAACTTGGATTCACCTTGATGAGTTTGTTATGCATATTGGATATGGAATTTGGGCATGACGAACTAGGTGATGGAATTTGATGACGAATTGAATTGTGAATTTGAATGATTGGTTAATGCTTTTAATTCATGAACATATGATCACTTGTGAGCTTTTGAGCCTTATACTTTGTTGATTGAGTGTATCGTTCATTGTCGTTGAATTCTAGAACTTGCATTGGTATCTATATTGAGACTACATGGTGCATGCTTTTTGTGAAAATGATTTAAGGCATATTTTTTGTTTTAGCCCTTTTGACTTTTAGCTTACCGAATGATATTTATATTCCCTAGTTAACCCTTTTGAGCTTTTGCCTATTTTATTGATTGCCACAGATTGAGCTATTATCTTTATTTTTCCTTGTCCCTACTTGAGCATTTAGGATTATATTATGTGAAGGGATGAGTGTGTTGTGGTAGTGAGAATAAAGGGATGTTTTGGGATGAAAATGTTGTTTGGGAATTTGAATAAGGCCATTGAATGAGGCCAATGAAAAAAAACAAAAAAAAAAAAATGAAAAGAAGAAGAAGAAAAAAAAAGAAAAAAAAAGTTTATTTTGTATATAGTTTGCCTTAGTTCGAATAAAGGAGATTTTTGGTTTTTTGTTTGATCTTTATTCTCTTATGGATTGAGAGAATTGATTGAATTTGGGTAGTGGATGGGTTATGTTGATAAGGAGATGAATTGGTGTGGTTCATGTTTTGTAGTTCTAGATGCTCAAGTGTTCGTCACTTTGTCCATATTTTTCCTACCCTAACCAAAGAGCCTACATTACAACCAAATAAAAAGTCCTTTTTGATTCATGAAATGCATGCACTATAAGTGGTGGAGATAGTAGACGATTTGCAAGCTTATGGTAATTCTTTGACATTGAATTGATTTGAGCGATTATTTCCCTATACACTTTCGAGAGTGAGAGTATACACTTATCCGGTGAGGTTTATGGATTGAAAGAATTGACCATGATCTTGATGAAGCATTCTTTTTGTTTAAAGATTTCAGAATTTAGTATGTTATTAGCCTGATGACTATTGATGATGTGTTTTTCTTTGTGTGTTGAGAGAATGAGACGCATTGATCGGGACTATCAATGGTTTAGGTTTGGGGGTTTGTTCATGTGTGATTTTACACCATATTCGCATTATTGGTGTATAAATTGCATATTTGTGCTTTAATTCTCTATTTGTTGGAAAGGTGTTACACGTGCTTGTTTTGTAGATATTTTCACATATTTGTAGAGCTTTGGCTATTGGAGGAGCATGGTGAGTGCCTAAGACTCCCGGGATGATGATAGATCGATGCACGGATGAGAAAAATAGAAGAAACGAGCAAAACGGACAAAAACGTACATGTTGGGGTGTGACACGGGCTGTGACACGACCAACCAGACCGTGTCAGACCCCATGTCACCTCAACAGAAAAATTCGAAGCTCAGAGACCTGACACGACCCGTGACACGACCTGTGACACGGGCGTGTCTGGTCGTGTCACGCGCGCGGACAGTTTTTAATCCCTTGCCTTTTGGATAAGGAGAGGAGTTTTTGACATTAAAAAGAGCATATTAACCCTATTCTGAGGGAGGAACATAGAGAACACAAGGAGAAGGGTTTGGAAGACACAAGAGAAGCAATTGAGAAGAAGAGAAGATCAACCACAAGATTTCTAGTTTTTCTTTCTCTCTTTTAAACTTATCTTCTCATGATGATTTCTAATATGTCTATGTATTTGAATTCAAACATGAGTAGCTAAATTTCTTTGATTCTAAGACATGGTAGTAGATTAATAGTTTGGGATTTTTGGATGATTTATCATAGTTGATTGTTTTCTTTTGAACCTTATTCAAATATTTTGTTCTTATTTCATGAATTGCAATTGTCCACTACTTTTACATGTTTGATGATATTGTTCATAATTCGAGAGATGAGTTCAATATTAGATCTTTAATATTTGACACAATTTATTTGCTTGAATCGAGAGATTAGTAGATAATTGTGAGGATTTTGGGTCTTTTAATCTTTATGGAGTTGAATTGCATGTGTTGAGTGGAGACGCTAATATATGTGATTTAATCTACGGTTTTATCGATCTCGAGAGGGACGATATGCTAAATTTGTGATCGTCTTATAGGGTAGATAAAGAAAACATTTAATTGTGATATCTTTGAAGGAATTCTAACTATTAATTGAACCCAACGTCTTAGAATCTATCGTTCCCATATATTTTCTCACGTGTTGATCTAGCTAGTTATTTATTTTTGCTTTATTTCCTTTCATTTATTTTCTTAGTTTAGTTAATCAATCTCATATTCGATCGTCTAAACAAAGTTGACACTATCATAATCTTGTACTTGATATATTAATTATTTGGTCTCTTGGCCTCCTACTGCCGTGGTCGGCGCGGTGGTGGCATGAGATGTGTGGCTCGTAACTTGTTGCACCGCCTGCGCCGCCGCGGCCGCCGCTATCTTCTGCACCTCCTCCCTGGTCATCGTCACCATCTGTTGACCAGGAGCTTGTGCGACGGCTTGTTGTGGTGTTCCTCCTTGTGTCGCCACTCCTCCTTGCACCATCACTGGATTTTGTGGCGGCGGCGGTGGCATCGCTGCCGCAGCTGCTGCGCGAGCTTCCTGGGCCCGGCTGGAGCCGGCGTCTCCTCCGGGAATCGCTGTCGTCGTTCCCACACCTTGAAGGATAGGTGTAGGAGTGATCGGCGTTTGCGATGGGCCAGAAAAACCCGGAGGAGGGCCATGTCCCAACGGCTTGGTCGTCGTCCAAGCTTCGTCGAACGTCGACTGTAAGTTTTTAGGAATTCCGTCCGCCATAGCTGAGCTTCAAACACAACTTCTTAAACGAAAGTCCCACAGACGGTGCCAATAATGCAGGTGTGAGCGTCCTGGCCCGGTTTGGGGTAGATCGGTTATTGTCCTCGCCAGTAGAACGCCAGAAATCTGCAAACAACTCTCACACTGGGGGTTGTGTCTGGTGAAGAGCCTCCGATGCTTAAGTCAGTATGTGTATGAGTATACTGGAGTTGAATAATGGAAAAATCGTCTTAAGGGAGAAAGGCTCACCCCTTTTATATAGGGGTGAGATACCTGCCTTAATAGCTGCCCGGATAAGGATGAGTTGGCTGCCCAAGCTGCCTGTCCGTACTCTGACACGCCGCGCACATGTCAGAGGTGGCGCGGGGCGTTGGGAGCTGTCAGAGGTGGTTATCGCTATCACCCAATACTTTCTCGACACATGTCTTCCTGCACATGGGGTAAATATTCTCCTGGAATTCGGTAGGAGGCTCTTACACGCGCCTGTGACTAGGCCGATCTATCGAGTGTTGAGTCCGCGAGATGCTCGACCTGCTGAGGTCGATAAGGTTGCTCGATCGTTTGTTTGGTCGAGCGATGGGTTGGTCGACCACTTGACTGGTCGACAAGTTATTTTGCTCGATTCTCTCATTGCCTGGCTCGATTCCTTCATAGTATGACTCCCCAAACCGGTTCAGCAGACCGGTTTATCTTGAAGTAGATAATATCCTATATCATCACACAACTTGTTCTGACCTTGTTTTGACCGAACATCATAAGAAACAAATGAAATATTTAAAGATCTCAAATTCTCTCATAAAGTACATATTTTACCATTAGCTCATTTATTTATTAGCTCATTCATTTGTATATATGGGTCAAATTCATATTTAGTCAGTAGCCCCTTTATTAAAAAAAAAAAAAATTGAGCCTCAAATAAATGGAGGCTCTAGGCATGGGCCTAGCTTGCCTCCCCTAAGAGCCAACCATGGTTGTACAAAATAGATTAATATGCTAGTGGTGGATTATATATATATACTCATGAGTAGAATTATATTTAAGCTCAAGATAAGCATGAGCGGAGCCACGTTATATGACAAAGTTAAAAAATTCCTAGAAATTTGAGAAATAATTTATTCCACAAGTTAAATTTATTCTTAACAAGTGTTCTATTTCTTTTTTTTTTTTTGTTTTATTTTTTATTTTTTTGTTGTCATAATGAATGTTATTGACTTTTTTTAACTTAATACTAAATTTAAACTAAATAATATTTTAGTTAAATGAATATATTTAAAAAAAAATTGTTGCAAAAACACTTAAAAATCATTTTTTTTATCGTAATTTTTTTTTTTTTTGATATGTGCTATAATTGTAGCCCGGGTAAGTTATAAATCCTGGCTCCGCCCCGATAAGGCAACAGTTCAACTTGTGTTGCTTGGAAAAAAGTTTTTCTATTTAAAAAATTATATTTCAATTCATTTTTAAGATAATTATGACATCGTCATAGACACGCATCATTCATCTAATTCAACAAAATACGAAATGAAATACAAAATTAAAACATATAATCTCACTTCAAATAAATATGGCATGAAATGCTGAAAGTTGTATAATATAGTTTTGGGAATTAAGGCAATTATTTATAACCTATATATATGAGTAATATCCTAGGAGCTGAAGTTTGCTATGTAATGGTGACACAAACAACCAAGTTCTTGGGACTCAAGACCCCATTAGCCTATGAATGGATGAAAATAGGAGGGAAAAATTTTCACAATGGGTTGAATTTTGCATATGGAGGGACTGACGTTTTCGACACTACAGGCGGTTTGTTGCCCAACATGAGCACTCAGATCGACTTCTTAGAGAAACTCATGCATCAATCTCTCTACACCAAATCGGATTTGCAGTCGTCTGTTGTCCTCGTTTGTCTTGCCGGTAACGATTATGCCGCCTATGTAATAAGTCAAGGCACCGATAAGGTAAATTTTCCAATAGTTACAAGATTACTCAACAACTCACCAGACATCGTGATTCATTTCATTTTTCAAAAGTTACAAGATTACTCAACAAACTCTTATACCCAATATATACCAAAAGCAAATTGGACAAAGTAACCTTTTCATGAAGCTTTTATTTTGCTTATTTATTTAAAATATCATTTTCAGCTTAGAATACAATTATATGTTTATATTAACAAATTATTAATACTAAATTCTATTTTCCTAGGGTTTGCAAAATTACATCCCACCTGTGATCAATCAACTAGCAGTAAACCTAAAGCGGATTCATGGGCTTGGGGCGAGTAAAATTGTGGTCACAGCTTTGCAGCCATTGGGCTGCCTCCCACGCATGACCCGGACATCGTTTCAGCAATGCAACGCCACCGAAAAATTGAGGCCCCTTGACTATCTCCATACACATTTTACAATAAAATACTTGTTCACTATTTAGACAGTTTTACTCCATTTCATTTTCATATACTAGTGCATACCCCGTGCGATGCACGTGATACATATAATAAATCAATTATTTCTATAGGACTTGTACATCTAGACAAAAAAACAATTGGCATGGATCATCCATATTTCACATCTTTTAATAAGTGGCATTTATTTAAGCCAAAAAATTAACATGTTAATTAATATATAATTCCGTAACACGTCATATATATACTAATATTTATTTGATTTTAGAATACATAATTATTCATTGATATAAGAAAAAATAAAAATTTTATTTATTCTTGTTCACCATATAATACTCAATTATTATTTTATTATGAAATTTCTAGTCATATAATGTCATTATTATTATTTATAAAAGTTATAAAAGTAGTTTTCTTTATGTAATGAAATTCAAAATAAAATTTTGAGTATAAATTTTTACAAAATACATACACATGTTTTTTAGAATTCAGTATTCTCATAATAATTCTTTTTAGAAAAAAAATGATTTAGCAATTGCCAAAAAATAAATCACTTACATAATCAAGAGATTTTTTCTAATTTTTATCCTAAGGCTTTAAAGTTTATTTAACATACAATGCAATAGAAAAATATTTTACAATAAGTTCATATTTGAAACATAACAAAAAAAAAAGTGATAAAAACACTATCATAGTTAACAATAATATACAAATAATAACATGTCGAAATTTTAAGGAATAACTAATATAATTTTATTATCTAACCATCAATAAAATCATTTAATGATGTGATCATATCTTTTAAATGATAAATAATATCAATTTTTTAAAAAAATATAAGTTTTATATAATTAAATAAAGATTAAAAAAAATTACTCGACAAATATTAATTATAATGGATATCAGTAAAATCATGACATAAATTGTTTAAGGAAAAAATCTTTAAGATCATATCTGGATAGTAAATGTAAATATGTAAACATTTAATGCATATAGTAAAAAAATTTCAAATAAGGTTTGCATTAAATGTGTGTTGACTTATTTTGCTACTATTTTTGGTAAATAGGTTGGCTTTTAATATATATATATATATATATATATATAGATACTCCTATTTCAAATTTTTAATAAATAAAATTTTTGTAACCCTATTTCACATTTTTATTCCTATTTCAGATATTACGTCCCTTCACATCTTTTTTTTTTTTTTTTTTTTTTTTTTTTTTGAATCCACAAAAAGGGGAGAACATGAAATATGTCCTTTCTTGAATAAGGGGAGAAGCATGCAGCTTTCATATAAGATGAAGAATTCCGATGGTGCACGGGATGATGCCGACCTCATAGTGGAGAGGCCGAGTGCGGATGTTTTTATATGTGAGTTGTTCGGTCAAATTGAGACTATCAGGATGGTGCACGAGTAATGCGAATCAATTTTTTATTTTATTTTATTTTTTCCACCATACTCTTCCTCTGCGTATTTATTTAATTTATTTTTTTTAACATGGGTAATGAATGAGGAGATGATGTACTTGATGGAGCGTTGTATTTTGTAGCTATTTTTAATGATTTGATGATGATGAAATATGGTTTCACATTGAGCAATAATGATGATGAGCTGTGGGTTTTATACAACCACTACACACGCACAGCACATGCACATTACACACGTGCCACTGCCTAACTAACTAGCTTACTTACTAAGCTAATTACAAACACGTACAGCACATGCACTTACAAGCTTATTACAAAATAATGCCACTGTATGTGATATACTGCAATACACCCCCCGTTAAGCTAAACCGGGTGAGAGGAATGCTTAGCACGCAGAGGAAGCCGAGAGCACAACACATGAAAACGACCAGGAGACAAAGGCTTTGTGAGCAAATCAGCAACTTGAGAATGAGAGGGAATATATCTGACTTCAATTTCCTTGGCAGCTACTTTCTCTCTAATGAAATGCACATCAATCTCAATATGCTTAGCTCGTATAAAAATCAATAGATGAGGATTAAAAATCTTAATTTTTATTTTTTTTTTTTGTGGTTAATTACCAATTATATTTTTTAGCAACTGTTTTTGTGTTTTTTGTGTTCATGATGGAAAGATAACCTTGTTTTTTTTTTTTTTTTATTAAACAAAGAGATGATCATAGATTATTATTAATTTTTATTTAGAGCAACCATGAATAATGATCTCCCTCTTCTTCATTACTAGGCAATGGATCGATTGAAGTAATCATAAAACGATAGTATAACATCTGTCAAACAACTTGAAAACAACTTATAATTAACAACAATAAAGTAACTATGAAATAATAGTATAACATCTGTCAAACAACATGAATACAACTTTCAATTAACAATAAAATGGTTCAAAATTAGGTTCTATAACAAATATATGAAATTGTGAATAACATAACAAAACAAAAAATAAATAAACTACAACAATCAAACAAAAAAAAA